GGCCCCGGGCGAGCGGCGGCGTGCAGGGCGGCAGCATCCACTCGGGCTGCATCGCCGCGGTGCACAACGTGCCGCTGAGCGTGCTCATCCGGCCGCTGCCGTCTGTGCTGGACCCGGCCAAGGTGCAGAGCCTCGTGGACACGATCCGGGTGAGACCCCGGGGAGGCCGGCCAGCCGGGGGGAGGGCTCTGGAGGAGGGAGGACGCGCCGGACGCGAGACGGGACCGGTTCCGGACTCCGCCGGAGCTCAGCATTTGCTGTGTGACCTTGAGCAAGTGCCTGGGCCTCTCTGGGCCTGTTTCCTCACTTGAGCAAGGAGGGAGGTGATTGGACGAGATAATTAAAATAATGATCGCTAGCTATTATAAACATAGCGCCTGCAGTGGCCCGGGAGCTGTTTTAAGACTGTTAGCTGCCTAGGCCAACCCTATAGGGTAAATGCTGTAAAAGACAGGAAACCGAGGAACGGGAGGATTTTAGCAATTTATCCAAGGTCGGGCATTAGAAAGTGGCACAGCCGGAATTCACACCCAGGCAGCGTGGCCCCAGTGCTCAGCTGCATGGCCACCACACTGTCCGGAGATAAGCTGTACGGTCCCTTCTGGCTGCGACAGTCAGTGGCAGTGGGACTGGGTGTGTCATGTCTGCTGGGAGGGCCTTGTCTGAACCGGAAGTGGGAGAGGACAAGGGGCAGCCCTATCACTTGAAAAGGGTGTTCAAGAACGCTGGAGTGATCCTGGCAGGAACTTGGCGGGGCAAGGGAGGTGGCAGAGCAGGAACATACCAGTATGTGTCAGGTTAGGCCTATATGTCCTCTTCTCTCAGACCCTTAGAAGATGAACACCTGAGACCCCTAAGCCCCACCAAACACCTGTACGGCCAGAGAAGATATCTTTCAGTCCTAGAATTTGCGCTACCCCCCTGTCTGGAGCCACTTCCTCAGATATCCACAGGACCTGCCCCTTGCTTGGTTTGGGTCTCTGCCTCCCTGACCACCGTTGCTAATAGAGCCCCGGCTTCTCTCCTCTCCCCTTAGCCTGAAGTATTTTTCTGCATAGCACTTATGTCTGCCAGAAATTATATTATACATTTATTTGCTTGCCATCTTCCCCATTTCATATGAACTCCACAAGAGGAGGGACTTTGTTATATCTCGGCTGTTGCCACAACACTAGCATAGTGCCTGGCTTTTTGTGGGAGGAAGGGGTCTAGCCATGCATGCTCTCTCCTACCACGGGCCTTTGCACAGGCTTTTTCCTGTTAGGAAACATGTTTTATTTATCGCTTCAAACTCCTCCCTGTCTCATCGTCTTCCCTGACTGCCCCTACTAGCTAAAGGGTCTCCTGTGGCCTCACAGCCACCTGTGTGCCTGCCAGCGTAGCTCTGATCCCACTGGGGTTTAATGGCCCGGTTAGATACCATTCTTCCATTCTCAAAGTGTGTGCTCAGAGAGGGCAAGAACTGGATCTGCCTTTGCTTACTGACCATTTGCATTCGTTTTCTGTGGCCACTGTGACAGAATATCACAAATTTAGTGGGTTAGAACAACACAAATTTATTATTGTATAAGTCTATGGTTCAGAAGTCCAAAATGAGTCTGACTGGGCTAAAATCAAGGTATCCCTGAGTCTGCATTGTTTTCTGAAGGCTGTAGGCAAGAATCCATTTCCTTGCCATTTCCAGCTTCTAGAGGCCACCCACACTCCTTGGTTTGTGGACTCTTCCTCCATCTTCAAAGCCAGCAGCAACATCAGGTCAAGTCTTTCTTATGTCTAATCACTCTGACCTCCTCTTCTGCCTCCCTCCTCCACTTTTTCTTTTTAAAATTTTACTTGACCAATATACAATGTAGTTGATTTTCATGTCCCTTTACCGATTTCTTCCACTTTTAAGGACCCTGGCAATTACATTCAACCCCTCTGGATAACCCAGGATGTTCTCTCCATCTCAAGATCCTTAACTTAATTCCATCTGCCAAGTCCGTGTAAGATAACATATTCACAGGCTCCAAGGATTAGGAGGTGGCATCTTAGGGAGCCATTATTCTGCCAACCCACCATCATGCACCCAGCACAAGGCCTGCCTGGCTCAGCTGCCCCTTGCTAGTGGTCCACTAACACCTCATTTGCATCAGCTCATCAATGCTCCATTAGCAGCCCTATTGGGTGTCTTATTCCTATTTTACAGATGAGGAACAGTGTTCACAGAGGTGAGGCCACTTGCTCAGGGTCCCCAGCTGCTCTGTAGAAAAGCTGAGATTCAAATTCAGGTTTGCCAGGTTCCAGAGCCCTGTCTTGTAACTCCTGTGCCTTCCTGTTTAATTACCATTTGTGGAATATATGGATGAATGAATTCATCTGTGGGGAACTGGGTGTCCTCACGATGACCCCCTAAGCTAAGGAGCCAAATGGGACAGACCGCTGAAGTAGCAGTGGACAAGAGCCCGGAAAGAGCTGATGCTGCAACCCTTCCTGGGAGGGCTGCATGCTGTGATTGTTTTGCCTAACCGCAACATTTTGACCTAAGCTACGCTGTCAAGAACTGATGGTAACAGCGATACCCGATACCCGAGAAAACGAGAAAAGATGGTTACACAAGAACTCTTCATGACCTCCACCCCCACCCATTGTTTTTTGTTCTCTTGCACCTGTGAGTTTCTATAAAAGGAGCTTACTTCCCTTATTAAACGGGGCTTGATCAGACTTCTGTCTTGCTCCCTTCCTTTGCGTCTCTTGTCCTACCCACTCCCCCTTCCAGGTTCCATAGACCAACTCCCAATTCCCGCGGGTCGGGACATTCATCAAAGCAGCATTAGAAAGAATCCATGGGCCAATAGCCTTCTAGGCAGCTTGCACTTACTTCATGGGGTCTCCCCAGTGTGTTCTACCCCAGACCCCATCCTGCCCTAGGCTTTCCTTGCTTGGGTGGATGACCCACTCTCCACCTGGCTCCTCAGGCCGCTAACAGGAAATCAACTTAGATTCTCCTCTTTCTCTTGTCCTCACATCCACCTCTTCTGCAAGATCTCTCAGATCTGCCCTCTAAATGTGTCCCAAACCTGTCTACCTCTCCTTGTCCCTACCTACCACACCACCATCCAGGCCAGCATGTTCTGCTGAACACCTGCAGAGGCCTTGCTTCTGGCCTCCCTACTTGTGCCCTGGTCCACCCCACCAACCCTGTTCCCCTGTGACAACCTTCTAGAATGTTCATTAGATCACATCACCCTCTCCTGTTTAAAATGCTCCATGGCCTACCCACTGCTCTTAGAAACAAACCTGCATCATCTGGCTCCTGCTGACCTTTCTGATCTCTTCCACTCCTTGACCCCTTAAGTCCACTTCTAGCCACACTGGCCTTCTTGCTGTGCCTCCAACACGGTGAACTTGTTCTGGCCTCAGGCCCTTTGCATTTGCTGTTCCTTCTGCCTGGAAGTCTCTTCCCTCACGTAATACACACCATACATTACTGAGTGCTTTCCATGTGCCGAGCATTGCTCAAAGCGCTTTATAAATATTAACTCATTTAACCTAACAACTCTGTGCAGTGGGTCTGTTATCCTTATCCCCATTTTGTCAAATGGGACAGCTGAGACACAAAGAGGTGAACCACCCAAGGTCACATGCCTGTTAAGTAGCAGAGCTGAGATTCAAACGCAGGCAGTTGTCCTCTTCATCTAAACTATTCCGTTTCTCTATGACTCCAGGTGGATCTCTGCTTCATTGTCACCTCAGAGAGGCCTTGTGGACCCCCTATCACTGTCATGTCACCTGCGTTATTTCTTCATGGCATTTATCACTCTAACATTCTCTTCTTTGTTCCATCTGCCACACTAGACTAAGCCCCATGAAGGCAGGGGCTACGTCTGTCTCATTCTGGCTGCACCTTATTCCCAGAGTCTAGAACAGGTCCAGATGTGTAGTATTGTAGTGTATTGATAAATGTTTAATAACAACCTGGTCTTTAGGGGAGAAAAATCTCTGATTTGTAGCAACTGCCCATTTTCCTGGTGTAAATACTGTCACCATGGCTGATTTTCAAGCTAAAAAAGTCATGTTAATCAGCTCACAAAATTTCTGGATATTTAGCAATTGTCTCTCTCAAGCCCATATGAGCACCCTGTGGGAGCTCCATCCATATTGACAAAGTCTGCTTTGGAAAATGGCAAGCATTGTACCATGGCCATTTACCCTGTGTTCCTTCTCTCCAGGAGGACCCAGAAAGCGTGCCCCCCATTGACGTCCTCTGGATCAAAGGGGCCCAGGGTGGTGACTACTTCTACTCTTTCGGGGGCTGCCACCGCTATGCGGCCTACCAGCAGCTGCAGCAAGAGACCATCCCTGCCAAGCTTGTCCAGTCTACCCTTTCAGACCTAAGAGTGTACCTGGGTGCCTCCACGCCGAACTTGCAGTAGCACCTCCTTGTCACCTGCTGTCACCACCCCCAAGAGCCCAGAAGACACACCTGGCCTCCAGTGGACTGGGTCATGCAGAAGGTGTAGCAGGAGTGCATCCTCTCTGCATCTGGGGGGAGGATCTGGCTCCAGGCCCCCTCTTCGCTAGCTACAAGGCCTTGGACTCATCCTGAACAGTGTGGGAGTCCCAGTTCCCACCTCTGCAGAAATGCAATCGTGACATTACCCTTGAAGGATTATCAAGAGGACGAAATAAGAAAGGAGACAGGTTAGAAGAGCTACATGCTGCTGGCTCCAAACTCTCAAGGACAAGGATCTTTCTGCATTTTTGTCTTTGTATATCCCTTATGTAGACTATGTTCCGCTGCAAGTAAAGGAAAGTCTAGGTTATAGCAGCTTAAGCAAAGAGAGGTTTGTTTTTCCACATAGTGTGTATTCTGGAGACAGGTGGCTGATGCAGTTCATGATGCAGGGAGGGTAGGGCTCACATCTGTGATCCTTTTGCCTTGCTGTCCAGGCTTGTTACTTCATAGTCATGCTATATCTCCAGGAATCATATCTGTGGTCAAGGAAGAAAGGAGTGGGGGAAGCAGAAGGGTCAAGCTAGCTGGGTCTGTCACCTTCTATCACAAATAAAACCTCTGCCAGAGGCCTGTTTCCTGCTCTCTCCCTCGCATGTTTCCACTTAGATATCCTTGGCCTGCGTCAGCTACCATTGCTACAGAGAAGGCTAAGATGGCAGGGAACAGGACTGTCATGGCCGAGTAGACCAATCATGCTCCATCTCCTGGGACTAGCACACTGCCTCCTGAAATAAAATTGGGATCCCATTATCAAGAGAGAGATGAGGGATTGTGTATCAGTTAGCCTTTGCCGTGTAACATACCATCCCAAGACTTAGCAGCTAAAAACAAGTCATTTATTTGCTCACAATTCTCTGTGTTGGCAGTTCGGGCTGTGCACATCTGGGCAGTTCTGCTGGTCTCACCTGGGGTCTCTTGTGGGGCTGCAGTCAGCTGTCACCTTAGCTGGGGCTGGATGGTTTAGGCTAGCCTTATTCACTTGTCTGGCAAGTGACAGGCTGTTGGCTGGGGTGACTTTGGTTCTGCTCCATGTGGGGCCTCTCTAGTAGGCTAGCTCAGGCTTGTTCATATGGTGGCATCAGGATTCCAAGAGAGCAAGAGTCAAAGCTGCAAGACTTCTTGAGTTGGGGATTGGGACTGGGACTGGGACAATGTCACTTCTGCTAAGTTATTTTGATCAGAGCAAATCACAAGGCTTTGCCCAGATTCAAGGGATGGGAAACAGACTACACCTCTTGATGGGAGGAACTACAAAGAACCTGTGGCCATTGTTCATCTATCACAAATAATTTGGGGTAGGCAAACAGTATTTCTCTCTCTTTCCCTCTTGCACAGGGTCTTGCTGTGCCCTGTCTGAAGTCACTGAGACATCGGCCTGGCCATCAGGATCTAGGGGAAGAGGTGATGGAGCAGGGGGTGGCTCTGTCCAAGGAGTGGGCCCACTCTAGTAGGGGCATCTCTCATTGTCTGCACTGGTGGGATGGGGTGGGCCAGGTGAGATGTTCCAGAGGGACTTCTGAAAACCAACAGTCCTGGGGGCGGGAGAGACGTAGAGGAAGGTTACAGAGTGAGATGGGCCTTGCTCCCTCTACCCTCTAAGAGAACTCGGTCACTTGGTATTTTCAAGCCTCGGTGTCCCCACCTGAATAATGAGGACAACAGCTTTCCCACCCATTCTGTGTCCCAGGGAAAGATGACTGAGGTGATGAATAGAATTTAAAAGGGATATAATCCTGAATGCAATGTGCTATCCTGGATTTTATCTTAGAACGAAAAAAAAAAAAAAAAGGACATTAGTGAGAAAACTGGATATGGGATACAGCCTGTATTTTAGTTAATAATATTATACCAATGTTGGTCTCTTGGTTTTAACAAATATACCATGGTTATGTAAGATGTGGATGTTGAGGTAGGCTGGGTGAAGAGTATACAGGAAGTCTTTGTACTATCTTTGCAACCTCTCTGTAAATCTAAAATTATTCCCAAATAAAAGTTTATTTAATAAAAAAGAGAGTGTTGTGCAGTTGCTTTAGACCAGTGGTTCAGGTTCTCAAGCTGGTTTGCTAGAACTGATTGCTAAGCTCCACCCCCAGTTTCTGATTCAGTACATCTGGGGTGGAGCCTGAAAATTTGCCTTTCTAACAAGTTCCTGGACCATAAGCTGAGAACTACTTATTTAAACTGCATCAATTATTTTCACATATGGGGACACTCAATGTAGAGGAAAGACCCTTGGGCTGGTCCCCCGGAGATCTGTGTTCTGGGACCAGTTTGTGTACTCACTGTGACACTGGGCAAGTCTTTCCCTTCCCTGGGGACTTTTCCCAACCTGTCAAATGGACTGTCTACCCCTAAGGTTTGTATCTGTGATTAGGACATGCTTTTTGGAAACTGCTATTGTGAGGTGCCCCTGTCTCACGTGAGTGAACCCCTCCTGCACCCACTGGCCTGTAATAATAGTGAAAGTGTCATCCCCTCCTGAAAAGGTTTTTCCTCCTTGCAGAGAAAACCCAACCAGGCAGCACTAAGGGCCTTGCTAGGGACTGGGAGGGAGGTGCAGAACAGACTTTGAGTGGAAGATATTGGTCACTTAGGGAAAGGGCAGCTAGGTTTTAAGGGTATAACCTGCTGGTCACTCTCAGTGGGGTCTGAGGGCTGTATTTCCCTCTTACACCAGCAGGTGGCGCTGCCTTCCTGCCCCCAGACCAGGTCTGGGTCTCTGTCCTGCAGAGCAACTGCAGTGGGAAGGGGCTGGATGGAGGTGCCTGTCTAAGGAAGGCCCATCCCTTGCCCAGAGGAGCCAGGAGTTCAGGCTTGAGAAAGAGACCTGGCTGGGAGCCTGGAGTTTCACGTTCTACTTACTCTATCTGCTCTTGCTTCATGACCTTGCCCATACTATGGCCTCTCCATGTCTGCACTGAGGGTACTGAGCCAAAGGAGAGTGCTGGGGTCCTCAGCAAAGGAAACACCTCCTCCAAGAAGCTTCCAGGACCCTCCTGGCTATTTGCCTCTTCTGGGCTCCCATGTGTCTGCTCCCCAAACAAACCCCTGCGCCCAGGAACTTGGATCTGGTGAAAGGCAGTGTGTAGGGTTAGGTTCTTCACTGCCCCGGAAGTTGACCCCCTCCGCCATGGTAGATTTTTAAAATTCTTTTATTTATTTATTTTTATTTATTTATTTATTTAAAGATGACCGGTAAGGGGATCTTAACCCTTGACTTGGTGTTGTCAGCACCACGCTTTCCCAAGTGAGCTAACTGTCCATCCCTATATAGGGATCCGAACCCGTGGCCTTGGTGTTATCAGCTCCGCCTCGGCCAAGTAAGCCACGGGCCAGCCCTATTTAAAATTCTTTTAATTTCACAAGTTTTATGTATCATATTTACCTTTTAACAGTGAAGATATTAACATTTTAAATAAATATTTTAAAATGCAAATATTAGAGGCAAGCCAAAGCCTACCATGAGTCCTAGTTCTGGCGTCCCTTTGCCATCTTGCGACAATTACATTCATGAATTTGGCGTATACCCTTCCAGACTTTTATCTAAGTTGTAGTAATGTATGTGTGTGTGAGTAAAGAATGTGTTTTTGGCTTTATTACAGTTTTTTTCAAATAGTTTTTCTCCCTTGGCAATATACACTGGCCATCTACCCCATTAGTGTCTGTGCTTCTCCCAGAGTCTCCCTCATTCTGGTCTCTGCTCAAGTGTCACTTCTTCAGAGGGGCCTTCTCGGGTCATCCTGTCTAAAA